AAGGTTATACAAAAGACAATTTTTCATCGACTATAATTTTTAATTAAGAATTCAATCCCTATGTGCCGACAAAAATTAATAGGTTCGCATGTAAAAATATAGACAAGTCGAATTATATTTTTCATTTTCGTCTGAGTCAGCGAATTCTTTTGCTCTTTGCAGTTCTGACATTGAAAATAAAAAGTGACTCTGGTTACAAGTTAGGTTTAGGCAGGTATAAGATCAATTTACAATATTTTTTCATTCTTATTTTCTAACTTTTCATCAATCTTTCTTTGTTTCTTATGGTCTGCATCTTTTTATGCAGTTTCAAGTTCAATCGAAAAATATGAGAAATGTCGGCTGTCCTTTGAAGGTGAAAAAAAACTCGTATTTTATTTTATTTTTTTATTAATTTTGTATTCCATGATATATGTGTATACAAATTATATCTCTGATTCTCTGAAATCATAAACTGGCTGAAATTGAAATTCTAATTACATTCGAAAATATGGCTATTTATAACTTAAAACTATTCTCTGATATTTATGAACACGGAAATATTTTATAGAGAAGATGATGAGAACAGGATTTTCTTTACATTAAATGATTTTTTATTTCATAAGCGAGAGTTTTATTTATTATCAAAATATGAAAAAGGTATTTAATGAATTTATTTTATTTTTTTTTGACAGTGTTTAAAAAGAATAATACTTTCAAAGGATAGAGACAGGGATGATATTCTTAATCCGCGTGTGGATTAGTTCCACTTCCAAAGTTGAAGATGTACACTTTTTGTGGGTTTCTAGGCCGCTAAAGAGCGAATGAATGAACACGACCCTCCGTAATTCATTCATGTACCACCCCACTCCTTCTTTCGACGATCCAGCTCAATCTTTCTTGGGCTTGGAGAATGGGTGAGACCCTTCATCTCGATTCTTCCTCTCTTTCCATGTAACTTATGTGTATATTTTCTTTGCCTCCCAATAATGTGCAATTGAACCTTAAAACTTGACACATGCAGACTTTATTTTTATTCCTCATCTAGAGTCAAAGGACAAAGAACTTAACTTCTGGATTATCACATATTCCTATTTTTGGTGTTTTATGAAAATATTCCCTTAACAAATTCTTTGAAATCAATAAGATTTTTTTAAAAAGTTTTTTTGTTTTTAAATTGGTTAAAATACTTATTGAATAAAGATTAATTTTTAATTATTAGACTAAAATAAAATAGATAATGTAACAATCATCTTTTTGAATGTAAGTTCATATTTGAACTCTGTTTTTCTTACCTGAAGACGTATCATTTTTTCCATCAAGATGAAGTAGACCTAAAACAACAATACTCACTTTTATACCCCCATCCTGCTTAATTCAAGTTTTCTTCTAAAATAAATTTTTTTTCTATAAGAATAAAAGCTGAAATGTAAAAAACTTGTTTTTACATTCATATTCGTTGTAAATGTCTTTCACGTGAGCTTTGTCTGTGTTAAAAAAATGTAATTAAAATTCACGTTGGTGCAGTCTTTTTCTTGCTCTTAGCAAAATAAACAAAACTGCGATGCGAATTTTAACCGAGTTAAATTGCTACAAGGTTGTCCTAAGCAAGTCGGCTTATCGTTGAAAGATCGTTCCCGCGAAGGAACTGCATTCTTTTCCTTTGGGGCCACCAATCAGAAGCAATTTTTATTCAACACTCGAGTATAGGCAATTCTAACATCGAACATTTCCCACAACACCGAATTTTATTTATTCAGTTAAGCATTTTATTTTAGAAATCTGTTTTCATGTTTTAAAAAATTATAATCATTTAATTCAAAAACATTCTTATTTATTAAAACATATATTGGCAAAAAAAGAGATATATACAAGATTTAAAAAATGAAATGCATTTTTCAAGACTTGGGACATTTTTTTGGCTCTCATTCCTATTTTTGTGAAAAGATTAATTTAAACTCTTGAAAAAAAAATCTCGAACTGAGTTTTAATTAATTAGAAGCAGTTTTCAGTGAAGAGAACGGAATTCCAAATCTCTCTTTTTTTTCTCGTCTATATTCCAAGATAAGATCTTAATATCGTCGATTTGGACAATCGTCCTTGACACGCCAAAAGCGGTACATTTAAATTGCGCTTGCTGATTCCCAGAGTCGTTCAATTAATTCCCCAAACGACAATTAGCAAAATTATTAATAAAAATTCTAATGAAGCTAAATCAGCGATGATAGAAGCCTTCCTGTGTGGCCAAGAGATCGAGTTTGTTAATACAACAACGTCTTCAAATTGTCTGTCAATTGACAGCAATAATTCGCAGTCTGAGGCCCACCCTGCGTCACTCATGGGAAAGTTCATTATTGAACATAATAATTCAAACGTCGAAATCTGAAAGATGTTTGGAATTCGTTACTTTGACAGCCACTTAGAGTTCATCCTCGACTCCTTCCCCTACTCTTTTTTTCCTCCTAATCAGTCAACGTATAGAAGTATATTTATTTACATTTTTTTTAAATGTTAAAAATTGTTTAACGAAAGTAAAATTAATTTTCATAATATTCCGTGCGTTTAGACATTATCTCTATGATATATCACGCACAAATTCGATTATTTTCTCGTTAACGAAAATCTTTTTCTGAAATATCAATTAAGAAATGATTACGTTAACAACACAATCCAGCATGTTCACAGAACCATTCAATCATATGTGCACATAATAATTAATGGCGATTTCACCAGTATTTAAATGTGCAATAGTATTTTATTATATATATAATTTTGATGAAAAGTTAATATCTTTTCAGAGGAAGATTATTATCATGTTTAAAAGTATGCAATATTTCTATTGGTTCTTGAGATTTAATAAAGTTACTACATATAGGGAAAATGTGACAAACAATTGCTACAAACAAACAAGAGACAAATTTTTTTTATAAAATAAAGTTGTTTATTTCCTCCTTATTCTCATTTTAATCACACCATTCATTTGTTTCGTATCTGCTTCCACTCGACCGATCTTTGATTCCCTCTAATAAATTTGGGACAAGATTTCTCGAAAAGAGGAGAAAAAAATAGTTTATCGAAATATCGTAAATTTTGAGCCTTTGTTACAATATTTTTGCAAATTTCAGATTTTCTTACGGTGTTTGCATTTTATTTCTAATTGTTATTTTCAACTTTTACAAAATAAAGTCAGGGTTGCCACAAGATCTGAAAACCTGGAAAAGTCAGGAAATTTTGATCGCAATCCTGGGAAATTGTTGTTTTCTAAAGTTATTGTGTTTATTCTTGAAATCTAATTTCACTTAAATATTTCAAAATTATAATTCAATTTTAAAAGAGTTTGCATTTACAATTTTCATAAATAGACGAACTTCAAAAGGTTTTAAGTTAAAATTTTAGAAAATTTCAATATTGAATGAATAAATTAAATAATAAAATACCATAAGAATTCTATTATTTACAAATTTTTTATTTGTATGTTATTTATTTTATTTTATAAATTTCTTCGCAATAATTCATTTATTTTCATGACGAAGAACATTTTTTACCAGGAATTCAATTATTTTTATAAATAATAAAATTCTATATAGGTTTTCAATTATTTTCGTAAATAATAAAACTCATTGCAGAATTTCAATTATTTTTATTACCCTTTTAATAGGATTTCTCGAAAATGTAATTATTTTTAAAAATTTTATTAAAATTCATCAAAGAAATTGAATTATTTTAAACAATCTTCCTATAATTTATTTATTAGAATTTAAGTATTATAATGTCAATACATTTTTAATTAAATTTCTTAAAAGAATTAAATTATTTTCTAAAATATTTTAATGAAATTTTTTTTAACAATTCAATTTTTTTTTCAAAATAATTTTTATAAAATTCTTCGTAGAAATTTAATTAATTTCAATAAAATTTCACAAAAGAATTCAATTAGAAATATATTTTTAAAATTCGTCTCAAGAACTCAATAATTTTCACTATAGTGAAATTCAGAAATTCAGAAATTCAATTATGGTAAAAAGTTTAAATAAATTCTGGGCAAAATTTCAATTATCTTTATAAATAAAATTCTTAATTTAATTAAATTAATATTTCTTAATTAATTTAATTAATAATTTAAATTAGTGACTGACTTTTCGCTTTAGAATTTGCAGATTTTACTAATAAATAGTAGTTTCTACTAATTTAATAGTAAAATTTACTATTTTACTTATAAATAATTGAATTTTGAAAAAGTTTCAAATTATAATCTTTGAAATTTTGAATTTTCCATACTTTTAACTGAAAATTGTGCAGATTTTATTTTTTTAAAAAAGTTTATTGAAACTTTTTTGAAATTATTTCAAGTTTTTATTTTCAAACATAATTATATTTAATTGAAGAATTTCCGAATAATCGATGATATTTCGTAAAATTGAATTGTAAACAAAACAATTTGAAAATTTTCAAAGAAATTTTTCAAAAATTATTAAAAATAATTAATTTAAAAAATGAATTTTATTTAAAAATTTGAGAAAATAATTATTGGATTGAAATGAGAATAATTTTGATGAAGTTACAGTAACAATATTCTTATAAAATAATGATTTTATCAGTCGATCATCTTTAATTATTATAAAACATGAAGATATCGATTGCTCCGAGTCTTCGACTCGGAGTGATCGATTTCTTCATATTTTATAACAATTTTTTAAAAATTGTTTAATTTAAAAAAGGTTTGAATTTGAATGTTTTGAAAATCTTAATTCTTATGGAAAAATAATAATGATTAAAATTAAATATTTATTTAAAAAAGAAGCAACAGAACATTTTTCTGTGTAATAATTTTTCAACTGAATGAGAATATTCTTTAAGTCAAAAAGAAGTAAGAATTTTGTCTAAAATTCAAGGGAAAGTCAGGGAAAAACAAAATTAAAGTCTTTTTATCAGCAAATGTAGTTTTAAAACCCGTTTTTTAACCTGGAAAACCTGAAAAAGTCAGGGAATTTGAAATGAGGAAAAGCGTGGCAACCCTGAAAGTGAAACAGTTGAAAATTTGTAACAAAAATGTGTTAAATTACGACATTAGGATAAAATATTTTTGATGAAATTTATATGGAAAATGAAAGGTTTAGGAGCAATTTTACAAATGACCATGAACCACTTTATCCTTGGTATGTGAGAAGATCTGTGTGAGCGCAAAGTGCACAGACAAAATAAAAATACTTGGAGCGAGGGTGGCGACGAGAATAGGGTGGCAGTGAGGAGAAGGGAGGGCCTCTTCTGGGGCCCGGCCCGGAGGAGAAAGAAAGCAGAAACCAAGTCGACTTTTTACTTTTTCTATCCTTGTCAAGCGGGGACTAGACTTGATGTCGCACACAAGCGCGTCGTAAAGCCAACCGCTGGCCTCTTTTTCAGGATTTATTAGCAAAGTTAATTAATAGGCTATCGCTGTGATCACTAAATTAGCATTCACAAGCTCTACCCCTAAATTACATTGAGTTTTTATGACCAATTTGATTGAATTTTTAAACTTTGTATTCATATATTATATTTAGTTCTGTAATTATTTATAACGGAAAAGTCTAATGTCTAAAGTATTTCTGTGAATTATTTCCCCCAAATTATACTTTCAAGTTTATAGATGAGTCATTATTTAAACAATTTAAACTTTTTCGATCTATTTCATTTTAGGTTTGTTGATGTTTGATGACAGGCTTTAAACTTATTTCTCTAGAAGTCAATTGAACGCTATTGCAATTGAGGGTAAAATCAAGAGCAACGTTTACACTGGGACAACAGTTTTCCTTAGGTTTTTCATCCAATTTGGAGATGAGATCCTCCACTGATTTTCTATTTTCCTCTGAACTGGAATTACTTGACTCTTGCATTTCGTCCTTTCCAATGAGACCGCAATCCGGTTGTCCATGATACTTCATCGCAATGCGAATCGTGTGAGTCACTTCCGGACTGGGATCACGAGGAGTTCTTGTTACTTCTGTTTTTTTGCGTAGAGTAATACGTAAATTCTCCGAAATTTTCGAGCAAATACAGTCACTGTCCTCCTCATCCTCTGAACTCTCAGTTTGCTTTATTCCTATCAAATAATATATTTATTACTTTTTGTTTAAAAAAACAGTAAACATTCATTTTAAAAATCAAGACAGTAATCAAGAATTATTCAAAAAAGGGAACAAAAATGTTTTAAAGAAAGTAAACGTTATTGATTGCCTTCCAACAGGCGTTAAAGTTTGCGCGCCTGAATACCTGCAACCCAAACAGCATCTGTGTCTGATAATAAAGGAGCATTTCGAATTCTTGAATTTCTTGAATTTTCATTATTAATTTTTTATTAATATTTTGATTCAAAGTTTATTTCTTAATAGGACCATTTTATGTACCTACTCATTTTTCTAAGCACTTTATTTTAATGAAATCTACAGATGATAATTAATTACAGTAAATAATTGTAAAGAAAAAAAGTTTTGATGTAAATCAAAATACATATTATTAAGTTTGCAATTTAAAATATCGTTGACAGTATTGTTGGAAGGATTTATTGTCATTTTGAGTTTTAGTATTTTTATTTTGAATGTTTATACCTTTAATGATATTTCTCGTGCACTTCTCGAGGGTCGCTGGTTTCTTCGTGCACGCCAACAATTTAATACCTTGTTGTTTTCGAGCTTTACGAACTTTCTTAACAGGTTCAACGTTCACAACGCATTTTTCCTTTTCCCGTTTCTCAGTAACTTGAGTGACTCGCTCCAAAAGTTCTTTTCCAATTTCGTTATTTTTTTCAGCAAAATTTTCATCAATCCTTTTACAAGGAACATTTGATAGGGAATCAATTAGAGGTACCGAAGTTTCAGGAAGTTCCAAAGAAGTTATTGTTAAGAATGCCGGCCTCTCACTTCTCAGTTGTTTAAGCCATGACCTATAACTACTGTAAAATATTCCATTCAGATTACTTCTAAAAAAGAAAGGTTATAAAGAAACTTGTTCATAATACTTTGTGAAGTCTTTACAATTTGATTATTACTGATTTGACAGGTTTGATTTTGTTTTATTTGATTTCTCGCGTTAAAAAAATCGTAAATATGATAGAGAAGAAGAAAAGCGAGCAACAAAGTTAAATCGAGGTATTTTGCAAGTAATGAGATGTGAACTGCAATAAACTTGGTAACCTTGCCCGCTTAAGGCTTTGGGGGTCAGCTTCAAAGCGCAATATACACCCTAGGTTCAAGGCGCATACTTGGTTTCTACTCTCACAACTCAAGAAAGAGAAGATGAACCGTCGAAGATAATAATATGATTCTCCGATGACTTATAAACGCGCTCGTATTTTAATGCACGCTTTAATAATGCGATAATGCGCGCACACCGACATTAAATCGGATACAGAGCTTTATTAAGTCGTGCATCTAGCCGGCCATTAAATTTTAGTGCATTTAATTGCAGGTTACCACAACACTAACGATCATTTTCATTTTCTTAACACACGTTTCAAAATTATTCTTTCAACAAATATTAAAAGAAAGAAATAAATTAATCAGATTTTGCAAAAAAATATTTTCTGTAAACAATAATATATTTTTTGTCATTTTTATTTTTTTTTGGTTTTAAACTTTCAGTAATATTAGAAACTTTTATAGACCTCTCAACATTGACAATATAGAAATGAGAATGTAAAAAACTTAAAATCTTCAAAAAGCAGACTTTAAAATATGAAAGAATATGAAGTTTCAATACCTGGAAGTTCCACGCCCCGAAAAAAAGTAATTATTACTGGTATGACAGGAATGTTTTATAGGAGGTCCTGTGTGAGGACGATCTCTGGCGCTTTTTGGGTCCTCTAATCTAAGGCGCCTAATGTATAATCCTGGCACCTCATCTACAAAATGACTTCTTCCGTATGAAGCCACTTTTTTTTCTTCAATTTATTTATTAATATCACCTTTTCCTGAAAATAGATTTCATTATTTTCTTTTATCTTTTATCTAATTTTTTTTATTACACTGAAATTGTCTAAAAGCAGAAATTTTCTTATGATCAAAAATTAGTAAATTAAAATATGTTCAGAATGCAAAATCTCAAAAAGTAAAGTTTGTAAATAATAATATTGATATAGGTTATATTGTGCTACATCCATATCTTCTCGATCAGTTTGATATCGTGTTACAAAAGGTGATGCCGATTTAAAACGATCTTTGCGTACAACTTCAAAATCATTTTTCCACTTGTGTAACTCGGAATATTATGAAATATTAATGAGACCAGCTTCCGAATTCAAAGAAGAAAGAAGTGAAAATTATGATTACTATCTTTCCCACTGTACAAAATATAATTGTTGCAATTTTTAATAAACATCTTTTTTCGTTTCAATAACGTACTATACTCTGTGAATTTGATCGAAAAATAATTAAATTTTTCCTATGGTATACAAATTCGTTTAGAATGATTTCTCGGTAAAAAAAACACACATAGCTTTTAATCGACTTAAATTTAAGATCATATTACAAGCGACTTTATTTGATCTAATCATTAAAATTCGAGAATATTTTACAGGCTTCTTTATTGGAATGCTATTTATTAGAAGATTGGGAAATCATTGAAGCATAACTCTTAACAGGTTTGAAAAGTACCAAGTCAGTAAAATTTAAAATATACATTGAAAGATTGTATACCACACTGAGATTAATAGATTCGGTCTACAAATTTGAGCAGAGAGATATTTTTAATGAAAACTTTATTTTTAAAAGCTAAACTGTAGCAAAAATAATTTTCGAAATTATTTAAAGTTTTTCAATTCTTGAAGATAAACAAGTGCTCAAAGTATCTTCTTTTATTCATAAATAAAACTTTTGGAATTTTCCCACGTAAATAGTGAAAAAAAGAAGTTTCTTTATAAATGCGGATCAATATTGCGAGAACTAAGAGTGAGAATAATAGAAGGCAATTTTCTTTATCAAAAGTTGTTTCGGTGGTGATGTCTCGCAGATTTATGCTTAAAGAGAAGAGTAAAAATGTTTATATTTAATATTCGACATTTCAAGAGAACTAAATGTATTTATTAGCAATTTTGAAAGATGACCGCAACCCCCAATAATTATATAATCCGGCGGCTTATTCAACATACTGTCATGAGAAACAATATACCGTTTCTATTTTTTATAGCTGTTGAAATTTCGTATTTTTTGGCTCGTCTTTTAAAATGAAAATTTCTAAAATCAAAAGTCGATCTCATTGGTGGCTTAAGGCAATTCAGTTTGTACCTAGTAATTTAATTCTGTATTCCGCGAAAGACGAAATAGGCGACGATAATTGGCCAAATTGGCAACCCTGCCAATCAATTGCCAAATATCAAGGACCCCGCGTGCCTCGCGGTTCCGGTCTCGCATTTTTGTCATTTTTTTTCTCTTATTTTTCTCATTTTGCTAGAAGATCAACATTACTAGGGAGCAGCAGCCAGAATCGCACACTATTTCGCGAATTCTCTCGTCCTAGAATCTTAAAATTTAGAAACGAAATTTCCAGGAAATAAAACGAGAGCCAGTTTAAATTCTAAACTCCCTTGTTCCAGATTTCATCCTATTTTTTCTTTTTCTCTTCTTTTCTGTTCTGTTCCCTTCCACCGTCGTTAACCGTCGTCCACTCACCTCCGAAAAGAGCTTACGCAACCGATCTGCTTCGATGCTCTCGAACGGGCTTTGTTCAGATCCACGTGAGAGACTCAATCGACTTTAATTTATTTAATCTCTCCCGACGCGACGGCACCTCGACCTCGAAAAAGCAAACTTGAAATTACGCTCAAATCACTCGCACTACTTCAGCGAAACAAGCGACTAAATCAGTATTGACGTTTCAGCTTAATTTGTAATATCTTAAGTGACAAGCAGCTTGATCCTAGAAATTGTGCGTCTTTCTCTAAGCAGTCAAAAGTTAAACAAAACGAGTCCGATTATCTTTATTTCAAACTTCTTAGAACAAGACGCACATCTTGCGCTCGAAAATTAGATTAGATGCCGGCCGTTTGAATACTTGATTTTAATTGAAAATTAAAAGATTAACAAAAGGAATAAAACTTACCTTAACAATAGAATTTTAGAGAAAAATGTTTATTAATATGAGCAGTTACCAGGAAAGAAGTTGAAAGTATACTGGCGTGCATTCGGCACCCTCAGCCAAAAGCAACCCTCGCGGAACTCGTGTTATTATCGAATAACTATGCTTTCTATACGATCCTGTGCATGCGAACTTAACTGTAGTCGTGTTAACCGATGTAAACAGTTAAACAATGTACACTTTCAACGAATTCTGAGCATCCACCTACATTACTGAATCTCACTTGAAGGAATTTTACTATTTTCTATTTGCAATTATTGGAAACTAGTTGTTATCGAGAAAGGTTTTCTATATTTAGCAAGAAAAAATATGTTATATATATTTATCAACTTCTTTTCTATGTTGAAAAAATAATATATATTTTCCATTTTTATTCCTTATTAATAGAATCGTAATTTGATTGAGAAAAGACGAGAAATTCGTAAATTGTACGATACAATTTGGATAATTTTAGAGAAATTACGAATGATATTGCAGAAATTCAATTATGTTCAAATATTTTTAAAAATCCTTATCAAAATTTCAATTATCTTTAGAAATAAATAAATTCTTCTCCGAAATTCAATGATTTTCAATATCTACTATTTTCATAAAATGTTCCAAGAGAATTTAATTATTATCAAAAGATAATATTTATGTTTTATAGTTATGAAAAATTTAATAAATTTATAGTTTTAAGTAAAAAATGTTCTCTTCTTTGACTCGGACTGCGATTATATTTTTCTTCCAAAACCCATACCACACCCCTGGTATGAAAGAAAAGATATCAATGACTGACAATTTAGTTGAAAAGTGTTAATAAAAATAAAGCTTATCAGAACAAAAGGTAGTTTTAATGGAACTGAAATGATTAGAAGGCCAATCGACCCACTGGCAGCCTCGCTATTCGTGTGATAATAATTGTCCGCAAACTAGGTGCTGCTTCGGACAGACTGCTCATTCCTGTGTGCCTGGCACGAAGAGCTTTTCAAGCAAGCACACCTTTAGAAACATGTTTCATGTTATTAAGATAGTTTCCCGTATTTTTATAACGCAATAATAAATAACCTTTTCGGAAATAAAAATCCGAATAATATGAATATTTCACTAGAGGTGAGGGTAAAATCAATCAAATTGATTGATTTTTAGAATAGAAGATTCCTCACAGGGGAAATATCGATTACAGACAACAATTATTAAGTTTTGAATGACTTCACAGCCCGTAAAATCGAGAATATTACTTGACGAGACTTGTTTACAATGAATTTATGAACCAAATTTGCGGGTACTATATTTCCAAATAATTTTTCTCGCGTGCTTCTACAATGTCTTAACGACTTGTTTAAACGTAAGGTAACCCTCGTTGTTGTTGTTCAAGACAGTGCTTAGACTCTTAGAGTTTAAGGTTCCGTTTCAAAAATTCATTGTCAACGTAATAAAACTTTTATCATTAGTTTTCACTTTTTATAATATAAAAAAAAGTGTTTAATTCAAAGTTCATCGTTTTTGAAAATCAATTATGTAGTATAGAATTTTTATTATTTATGTTAAACGAAGCTTATGGCACTTTTTAGAGGAGGAACCCTCTCGTGGGTGATTGAGCTCGGAAATTACGATCTGTTTCCCCTTCATATATGTAATATCTTCTTTCCTTTCTCCTCACCACCAACCAGTATTTTCTCTTACTTTTTTATTTAATGGCTCGTAAAGAAACAGTTGTTATTTGTTTGCAAAGTGAATTGCTTTCTGTCATTTGTTTTGTTCCTCAGGGATGGTGATTACAACAAAAATACACACCAAACACAAATCAACATTCAATACTATAAGAAATATTATTTTTTTTTTTTTTTGAAAATTTCTCAAAGATTTTTCTAGTCTTACTTTAAATCAGACTATTGGATTTTTTAAGCATGAAAGAAAGTTCAGTTGGAGATCAGAAATGACTTGAAATGCGATTAGGCTTGCAAAAGTTGTGCTCTGTAAATCAAGGGACAAAAATTCCAGGCCTTTGATCTTTGAAAGTCTCAAATGGCCAGAGGTAGGCTTGTTGGCACAAAGAACTTGCAAGCTCGCCACCCCTAGTTGAACGAAATCGTGAGTCACATCTTGAACACACTATATACATTCCAATCAGAATAGTTCCTTGAATTTTCCATTCCATTTTCTTTTTAACGAATGGAAAATTTTAATAATTTAAAATTACTAGCAATTGTAATCTTGATTTTAATTTATCTCAAATAACACGTACATTTTACTTGAAATGTAAGCCTAATTCAAATTTAATTCTAAATTCAAACTTAAGTTTAATTTTATGTTGCGCGTAAATTTAAATTAAATTTCTCACCGGGATTAAATTAAATTTAATTCTAAATTTAAATTCCTTACTCTAAATCTAAATCTAAAATTGCAGAATAAATTTAATAAAAAATTTAATTAAACTAATAAATAAAAGTAAATAAATTTGAATATTTTAAGTTGGAAAAATTTATGATTGATAGGATTGTAGGTGTAGAGAGAAGAAGTTTTTCGATTTGAAGCATAAAGTTCAAGTCTTATGCGGTTGGTCAGGAAAACTTGACGAGGCAAAAGCGGGCAAAAGCAGGCGAAAGTTATGTCGTTCTAATGTAACACTACTACAAAGAAGTCTTTCTCAATTTCCTAAGCTCACCTAATTCCCATGTTTCCCCTCCGGGAACCATTATGTCGATCTCTTCACTCTGAAATCTACTTTCGGTGTGACGAAAAAAAAGAAATGACTCGTAGAACTTCTAACGACCACTAAATATATTTATCGTTAGGGTAGGTTATATGTGCATCTGAAGAAGGGAGAAACCTAATTCATAGTTGGAATCCCTAATAGTAGAAGATAATTCTCCCATCTCACTGACCATGACAAATTTCTCATTTCCACAGTTCCTCTATGTTTTGTAACATTCAACATTAAAAATTTGGTCTTGTATTTTAATTATACATTCGTCTTTTAAGAAAATGATTTTCTGTTAATATATCAAGTATTAAAATAGGTATTAAAAAGTAATTTTCGAAAGAGTCAATTTTACAGGAATGACTATGGCGCCTAAAAGCGCTACTATAGTAAACATGAGAAAATTTTTAAAGAATAAAAAAAAACTGTCATCCCTAGGTTTTGGTTTATGATTTTAAAAGAAAGGAGAATGCTTGAGGGCTTTTCAATCTTCAGTTTAGCACTTTTGGCAAATTCTTTCTCTCAATTATTTTCTTCTCTTTTTTCGGGCATTTGAGGCCACACGTTGTTCACTTTACGCGAAACTTCCTACAAGCGATTAGAGGGCGGACATTTTTGTGGATCGCCTGACTAATTATCTACAATTGCCGGAAACACTATATGCTCAGCTCCTAACACGAATATACTCTCACTAAACGAAAAGTATTTCTTACAATTTTTTGAATATACGTAAATCCATAAATTCTAACTTTTGATGCACAGTCGAAAGATTTTCGTTGCGTGTTATACATATGTTGCAAACATAGTTGTATATTTGTGAAGTAAGAATTATGATTAACTGAACAACTTTTGAGAATTCATTCTTAAAGATTAACTTGGAAAATTTATTTTAAATTTATTTTTTATGGGTAACATTTAAAACTCTTGTTTCTGTAAAGGAGGTAAAATGTTCGCACTTTTTTCGGTAAATCAATATCTTCTCCGATAAGATAATACAGAAGTATTAAAAGTCCTAAGTTTGCGTTGGTTATGGATTATAGAAGAACTAACCGTTCCCAATATGAAGTCAATTAAGGAGTAGGGAATGGTAGGAAAAAATAAAGATCGCAATCAATCCTAATGGTGAAAGGGGACAGAGGGAAAAAGTGGGAACAAGTGGGAAAAAGAATCTCTGCTAGTTTCTCAAGTTTGAAGTTGGCCAATGGTGGCGCTCTCTGGCGAGTTTGTCTCCAATCAATACTCACGTGTATGAGGGTCGAGATAGGGATTAGGGTGCGGCGTCGTGGTCAGGGGGTGAGACTATAGGGGCGAAATTGGAGTGGAAGGGGCAAGAGGGTCGATGCAGCGCTGGACCAAGGTCCACTCTCACTTACCTCGGAAGGGAAGGAGAAAATTTGAGATAAGGACAGAGAGCAATGAATCTCGTGGGCGGCGAAAGGGGTGAAGGGCGAAGGGACGCAATGAGAGAGAGACAGAGGAAATGGAGAAAGAGAGAGTGAGTACAACAGTGAGAGCGAATCGAGAGTGAGAGCACTCCCAGGAAACCAAGGGGTGAGAATTCCAAAGGGTTCTCTCCTCTTGGAGAAAGTGAACGCGATGGTTCTCATTTCGAAGATTCAATGCTCCGCGGATTCATTCTTTTATCTTCATTTATATGTTAATACGTTATATATTTCTACAAAGTATATATTTAAGAGACAAATGGAACAGAAAGAAGATGAATTTAAAATCCGTTTTGTAATTTTTTTTCAGTGAACTGTCCTATTAACTTTAAACTTTTTAAACTCAGCTAAATCAGTACAAATAAATATAATAAATTGAATTGTTTCGAAGGATTTATTAAAATTTTAGAATATAATTGAATTCTTTTGAAATATTTTATATCGAATTAAGATAATAATACGTAGTGAATTCTTTCGTGAATTTTTTTGAAAATAATTGAAAAATTTATCATTTATTAAAATTTTTGAAATTAATAAACTTGAATGATTTAGTTTAGTTAATATTTGAATTTTTTTAAATTTTGAACCTGAAATTATTCAGATTTTTTATCTTTTAATAACTATTGTCAAGTAAGCAAAAACTAATACCTAATTATTATATTCTGATATTCATTATGTTTAAAAGTTTTAAAAGTGACTATTTTAAAATGCTTGTTTTTGCAATTATGATGATTTAAAACAAAGTTCACTTCGAAAGTATTTTATTTTACTTGGCAAGTGTACTTTGAAATAATATTTTTGGAAGAAAACTCTTATTTCTAAAATATAGTTATTGATAAAAGCAGAAACTGTTAAACGAGCATGCAATTATGCTTTTCGCGTCGACCTCAATAATGATGATTTTCACGCTTAAAAGAACATATTTCTGCAATTTTTTTTCAAAATTTCGTTATTACTCCGTAACACGCAACTGAAAATATGCCCATTTCTTAAAATACTCACTAGTCAGGATGTTGTTATATTTATATTCGTCATCTAGTTAAAATTTCTCACTTTATTTTATATTTTTAAGTAAATGTATAATTTCAAGTGAATTATTAAATGCATATAGCATTTTAATTTAAATTTATAATAATCGAGAGAAAAGTCCGTACTTCTTTTTTCGTATTTTTTTTTTTTTTTTTTTTTTTTTTTATTTAAGAAACGAAATTCTTTGTGCGGAGGGAAAATTCTGGCAAAATACACGAACGTCCCTTAGCGTCTCGTAGGTGGAGAATGGGAAATGGAAAAAAGAGGAGAATGCAAATGGACCGACTGGGTGAGTTTTTCCAGTGTGTCTTCGTATGGATTTGCGTGTGCTCGAGTGTATAAAGTATCGCACGGACAGCCTACATTTATACTGCGGCGCGTACATGAAAACGTATTTGAGAAAGTATGGAGTCCTCCTCGTGAGGCACTACTAAAATTGACCGTCTCCCTCAGTGACTCTCAACTTTCTCGATATAAGAATTTTTTAGGGTTTTAAATTTCAATATTCCTCTCTTATGTCGGGTCTATTCTCGCACGTGAATGTAATTTTCAATATTTTCTGCAGTTCGATAGATGCTTCGTTCGTAGAAATAGTAAAAAAGTCGGTAACAGTAGTACGAGCAGGCGTAAGGTCAGCCTTGGGTGCTAGAGATATTCTTACGTCAGAAGGAATTTTGCAGAAATTTCCCAGTTTTCTAGATTCTGGTAAGACTAGACGTTAGATTTTCTTTTAAATAGGTAGGTCAATAGTTTATCGATGGCGAGATTCAGGAGATTTGTTGAATAGTAAAAAAATGAGTAAAACTGTCCCTTTAAATTGAAGAGCTTAAAGAAACTTAAAGTGCTATATGGAGAGAATGATTTTAGGTCAGTTTTCCGCTTATTGAGTTGAAATTTTCTGCAGGTTCATCAACATCAAAGTGAACATGTGCTATACATGCAAGGTGGAATTAGAAAGTCAGTGAGTGCATTCTTCCATAATATGTAAGGGTTGGAGAGGCGAAAAGGGTGATTTCGAAAGGGTGGTGCGTGCGTTCGAGGGGTGAGTTTCGGAACACAATGTCCGGCATGGTCCAGCCGTCGGAGATGCGAGTATTGATCTAGCTTTGCTTCTCCGCCGCTTCCTTTGCTTCCTCTCCGACCCTCCATGAACACCCCTACGTGTTTCTGGGAGTTGAGCAAAGAGGGTGAGTCCAAAGTCCAGCATTCCGAGCTGCCCCAAAACCAGGAATAGCGTTCACTCTCGCTCATGCCTCTTCCTTCCTCGCCCTCATCCTCTTTCACCTCCTTCGTCATTGCCCCTACCTTTATTCCTAGCTGCTTCACCTCTTATATGTTAGATAGGCGCAAGTGGGCGCAAGCGGTGCTCAGACAGAAACTCGACAGAAACTTGCCTCAAAAACAAATAGTGCTTTTCTCCAATCTTTAATTTTAGAAATGAAAAAAGAAACATGAACATGTTAGAATATATATTTGACATGGATAGAGTTGCAAATTCAGGTTTCGCAAACATTGCAACAAATTTTTCAAGCGTATGAACAGAATCGGTTCGCGACAGTGAAAAATGGTTAGAGATAAGTTCACTATAGAGTTGGTCGGATCCGGATAAATCCGCTATGAAGTCACAAATCTACCTTGGAGTGCTATAAGATTACTATTAATTTATAGGGTCTGCAGACAAATGTTTTAGAAATAAAAATTAAATTTCCTAATTTCTTATTTTTATAAACGCGAAGCAAACTTGTCTTTTTTACTTAAATATATATCTTTAGACTTCTATTCGCACAATAGTAGGGAGACCATCAATCATCGCACTATTGTCCACTTTATCACCCATTGCGTAAACCTAGCATCATTTAATTGTTGTAAAATGAAGAGTAATTTTTTAATTTTCTAATTAAAAGTGATTTAAAGATAAGAAAACATGGGTTAGGAAATTAATTAACACCTCGCGAGAGATTACTCCGAGTTTATAGGCCCTTTAAACTGGAATGAATGAACCATTTGACTCGGGAGTAGGGCTTGCAGAGTCCTTGAAGAAGGTCTTGAAATAGAATGTGCAGGATTAAGATAATAGTCTCGGGAGGGATGCGAAGGCGAAGGCGAAGGCGAAGGCGAAGGAGCCACGAAGGCAAAAACGAGAACGATATGATGTGGGTCAAAGTCGCAGGGACTGGGGCTCCTTCTCGGTTGCTGATCTTAGGACCGAAGACCTTTACACCCTTTTTTCCATGGATCGATAAGAGCATTATCTAACTTTCATTTACAAAAATGGGATCCAATTTTATATCACAATGAAAGAGATGAATCAAAAGATACGCACTGAAATAAAAAGATTTTAACCATTTTTATTTTAATTTCCACTGTTCCAAAAACCCTGAAATCTCAATTTGAGAGAAAAAATGTAAATAATTAAATCTACATAAATATTCAATCAGCTAGTAAAACACACGATTCTGTCATAAGTATATGGATTTAATTTCACTAAGAAATCGTCGACAAAAATCGATAAATTGAAACTGGAACTTGTCTTTTGATTTTAATCTTGGAGTAAAAAAAAGTTAGTAGTTCAAGTTGGAGTTACTCGTAAATCTTCACGTGTCCAATAATTTTTTCCAATCGTGTGTAATAATTTTCAGCGCTTTTTTATATATATTCTCACTAAAATTCCTCGGATACGGGTGGCCAGCTATCGAGACAATCGTAAAGACTAATTAATCTGGCATTTCGAAAGTTGCAGAGACCACGGCTATGTATTTTCTTAAATGTATAGACGAATCGAAATCGAATGCTCGCGAGCGCGCAGCATAAATTAAATTAGCATAATTTCGGCCTTTCCGACAACAAAGTAAACCGAATACTCGCGTGTAAATTTAAGAGGATTGACATTCAATTTCGCAAACCGAGCAAAGCCCCGATACCTTTATTTCACTTCCGCGAATTGGTCTCTTGTGATAAGTTTTAATTCGAATCTTTCGTCTACTTCTACTGCGGATTTCTTTGAAGGATTTAAATGAGAGCTAAAATAATGAACCTTCCGTAAATCACTCACAATTGATTTCTTTTTCTTCAATTTCATTGTTCAATATGTTAATTTAATTCAAAGCTTAAAAAGTTTATTCAAATAGTGAAACATTTAAATCAGTAACAATATGCCTACGAACAATTTTGAACGAAAAACATGAGCAGATGAAAACAAAAGAAGGGTGAAGAAATAATAACTGAGGGGGGATATAAAAAATAGCTCGTATAGATGTAAATGTGTATTTTTGAAAAGAATGGAATAAGAGAAGCGCCTGAAGAAAAGGGAAAGTGTTTGTTTTAGAGAGTTCTTCTAAAGTGACATTCTATCCCGCTGCGTGAAATTAACTCTCTGATGCCGACAGCTCAAAAAGGAATTTCTTCGCAGAACCCTGACATGATGTTTTAGGTGAAACCGGATTCACCGGAAATTAATAGAACTCTATTTTCCAAACTGAAATTTTTACATGAGCTTTTGTTTCCGTTTTTCTATCTCATTAAACAAAATATGCTCTCGGAATAGTCTCTCCTTAATTACTTTTTCAAAATTTAAAGGAAAGAAAGAAAGTATCCTGCGCCTTTTTGTCATTAATTGCTTGCTATTTTTCAAACCGTACGTAAAGTCAAAAATTAAATGGCAGCGTTATAAAATATTTGTCTATAAATCTCTGATTTTAATAGCTATAACAGGTATAGAATAAAGTATGGAAACATTAAATTTTTTTTGGAAACTGGGCGGGTCAAAAATATTATGTGACAAAAAAAGAATCTACAATTTAACAACGAAAAAAATATCCATTCTTCGACAAAGTTGAAACAATCAACTTTGAAGAATTTCACCCTTTTCTACATATTCTGCAAAAAATACGAAATACGTTTTCACTTGAACAATAGTTATTAACTCCGAAAAAAAAGATTTTCGAAAAAAAGTCCAACTTAGTTAAACGACGAAACTATATAATAGTGAAAATAATAAAAGCGTGGCATGGCATGGGTGCCTGGGTGCGATCGTGGATTTAAGGTAGCGCCTTAGCGGCGGCATCAAAACGGCGCTAGCCTCCTCGTAAAAATTATCGGTAATAAAAAATTTTGATTTATGTTAAGTTTCTGAGAAAACAGATTGCAAACTAGTGACGGAAACTCCCTTGAGTCTGACCTTTTGCGGTAATTATTGCTTCCAGTTAGAAGAATCAAGATAATCCTTCATTTTACTTTCCTAAATTAAGGAAACAACATTTTTTCCCATTAAATTATTTTCAACCTTGAAGCAATCCAAAAATAACTTGATAAATAATTAAAAAATAATACCAGAGGGATAAAGGATGCATAAAGGATGCATTTTACAGCATCAACTAAACTATAGTATAAGTGTAAAGAGTGTCCCTAAGAAATTGGTTAAATGTTTAATTACTTTATTAAATCATAATTTAAAAGACGTTCTGTATGGAAGCAACCAATATTTAAACGAAAGCTTTAAAACTTAAGAAACTTTTAATTAAAACTTGCAAAAATGAAGCTCCTTATAACTCGATTAAAAGTTTTAAAAGTTGGTAAAATTTATAAAAAGGTGATAAGACTTTCAAAGGTTTATGAAATAATGTTTCAAGTAAAACAGTTTTTCCACTTTCTTTTGTAATTTTTCTTCCAAGAAATAACGCATAGCCAATTAAATCATATTTGTCTAAATAAATAATATATATATATATATAAATTTAAGAATCTTCTTCTTTAAATTATCTCTTCTTATTTCAATTAAAAATTAATGAAACTATTAAATATTTAATTGATTATATAGTCACAATGAAAAATGTCTTTATTTTTTATTAATTTTTTTTATGGATACAATGGCACTATGAGAACTAATTTATATCAATTATTTAACATTTAAGAATTAATTGCCTTTATTTGTCAATTTGTTTTTCGTGTTTTTATAAAAATTAAATTTATTAATTAATTTTACACAGTAACCATCAATAGATAAGTAATTTTCGCTTGTCTGCTGTTGGTAATATATTTTGCTCGATATAAAAGATTTTTACTTTATCAATATATGGTAAAAAGGATGCCTTGATGGTTTCGAACCAACTAATCTCATCAAGTTTAAAAGCGCGATAATTTGAACTACACTTTAAAAAAATTTATTTGATTCAAATAATCGATTAATTGCCTATTATCAAATAAATATTTACTTGAATCAATTAATTTTATTTTAATTAAATTATATTATATTTGCTTTAAATACTGAAATTAGTGGTTCAAATATACATTTTTTTATAATAAATAAGTAATCGGTCATTTTGATTAAATAAATTTTCTTTCAGAGTAACTTTTTGAAACTTTAAAAAATGAATATATTTAATAACTAAAAAATAATTTCTTCTATCGAAAACTATTCAATTATCCTGTATGTTATGCGGGGAATAATAAAATCACGTAAAAAGATATTATTTACCAAAATTTATTTACATAAAAACATGAATAATACCTATAAGTTTTCAACTGCTGCGAAATTTTATTTTCGATTCAGAAAATAATAATATATTGTCACAATTGGCGCAATAGATATAGTTACCAGTAGGGAAATATTAATTAATTGTTAATATATAATATATTTATATATCGTTACAACAAAATTGAAACAAACTCCCACGAGATCGGTTTATTATCAATATATTATCACGCACAGAAATTGCGACAATAATGACTGGACGTACCAATAATAATTTCTTTTCGAATAAATTTAATCTTTATAAATAGTACATGCGTAAAACATTCGTTACAATATTTACAAAATCATACATTCAGCTAAAAATAAACATTTCAAGTTATTAAGACCGTAAAAATAATAATAAAAATATTAAACATTCACATGCGTATCGAGCATTTGTAATTAATTTCTCTACTATTTGCCAATTGCACTGAGGCTCAATTATTTTATTAAAGAGACCTACTTTTTGTCAATTTTTTTTATTGCTCACATCTCTATAAACACATTTCGTTAAAATCTTTGTATAATTTTTTAAAAGCGAACAAAGGAGCTCTAGAGAGAGTGATAATTCAATCGCAGTGTCACCAATTTCTGTTAAAAGTCATTAAAAATGGCAGCGATATTTCGTACCTAACGTATACAAGTATAAATTTTTATTATTTTCAGAACACACGAATGATTCCCCCCCCCCCCTCCAAAAAAAACTCGTATCAATTAGTAATTACAATTTAATCGTTTAAAATTTTGATAAATCGACTCGGTTGGCTATACATAATATATGAAAGCAGTTTTGAACTGCAATCGCCTAAATTAAAAATCTACAAATAAAAAGCGGCAGTCTCGAAATATTTTTTTCTCCTTATTTTATCCATCAGGAAAAATAGTTTACAAAACAATGCAAAGCAATTTTTTCGATGTTCCACATCGCATGAACCGAAAAATAGTCTCAACTTCCTTCTTCATATCGTTTCTGAATTTTGACTTTATGGCACATCAAAAATAGTTTCGCCTTCTTTCTTCCACATAGAAAATATACATCACTCATTTCGTTGACCATTTAAATTTTTACACATTTGCCACATAAATAAACCTCTAGCTGATTGATTCAAGATTTCGTTCCCCAACCACGGCACAAAACTCTTTTGATGTGCGTCAATATTTGTCCCAACTGACCGGCGAACATCCTCGAACAATAAGCTTTAACAAATATCCTTATGTATACATTAACAAAGCATGTTCTCTTTTTCATTTATTGCGCGAACACTTTACTTGATTATACATTCCAATTATATTTTGTATATTTCTATAAAGTAATGGCATAAACGAGATCATTCAACCTATGCCCTGTCGTATCGCACAGGATATAAAAAGTGTCTCACACACTTCATTTTATGTGCGCCTTGCGTATTATATATACATATATGCAACATTTTCTCATTGCAAGTCAATTGTGTAAAAATGCCTCAGACACAATTGACTTGTGATCAAAAATATTATTTTCTACAATTGGCGTCAATATTATTTTGTACATGTTTCAAAAAGTTCTTTATAGTAATATTTATGTTTGATTGAAAGTTATTTTTTCTTGATTTCAAAAAAGAAAGCACACTATTCCTTCGGGAAGTATCAAAACTTTTCTTATGAGTGGTTAACAACTTTAGAGCTGAAAAGTATAAAAACTTGAAATTCGAACGAATGGAGTCAATTTTTTTTGGACACTTTTGGACTCTATATTAACCATAAATCATCTTTTATTAGTCATCTTGGTCCATTTTTGTCATTAAAAAAAACGGTTTTCCACCAGTAAAGTTGTTTTCCAATTTACAAAAAGAAACCAGTTTTGACAAGAATAAGAGCTGCGTGCACTTATTGGATTCGATTGAGCACTTTCAAAGTTGAATTTTGGAAATTTAAATCAGCTATTCGAGTGGATTTTTTTTCTTATGTCTATAATATATTTAGATTTACACCGATTGTATAAAAAAACACTTGCGACCACAAGTTCTGTATCAAAATGACATCGACTCTATATAAAGCACCTTGATTACAAAAACTTGTCATCCCCTTCACATCACGGATTGTAATTATGTTATTGAAAAATTGTCGAAATTTAAAAATTGGCCATAAAAATTGTTCGTCAAAATGATTCGATGCGTTTGGTATATATAAAGATTTCGTGTAAAGATTTGATATAAATATTTTGTATAAAAAAAGATGCACCATCATATGCGAGTATGCGACCAGTCACACTTGATTAAATATATATGTATATAAATCGGATACAAATGTGCGTCTTTTTTGTGCTATATTTCCTTTTTTCCTTTTTTTGGGTAGAGTGCACACTTTTAGGGTCAGAAGGATTTGACAACGGAGAGTCAAGCTGGCTTAAAGATTATATCACATCCTCAGTATCTCGAACGGCAGTGTTTTATACTAGCCGACATTTTAAAGTCGCTTTCTCGCGACATTGTACCTATTATTATATATAATATATCTTCTCCAATTTCCCTGTATCTCTTGTACTCGATCCAAATCTGCCTAATGGGTTCGTTCAACGTTTATTCAAAACTTGAAAAACCACGTAGAAATCGTACAATCATGCATTCGTCCGTTCATTCGCTTTGACTAAACTTTAAGCTAAAATTATTGTAATTTCGTGTCTCACAATAAGATCCTTTGAAAAAATGAATGACGACTTAGTGCTTCCACCAGCTACAGATGCAGCAATACCATCTCCTATTGGGATGGGGCTGAGTTATCTGCTACTGTCAGTGCATCGCTCTCGTCGTCAGTTGCGTGGTTTCAGCTCTTTTCGGAGGTGGGGGAGGAGGTCTTCGCTTGCCAGCAATTGAGTTAACTATGTTGATACTATTGTTCTCGTCAGCGAATCTCACGGTTGGCTGTCGAGCTGGACTCACGGCGTACTCGACTGGAGCGCTAGGATCCGTGTTGTAGACGTTCTCGTAAAGGTTATCATTTCCGTAGTGCTCCTGAACCCAGTTGGAAACGTTTGTCTCTCTGTAGTCGGCTACGGCTGGCGGAGGATCTCGAAAGCCGAGCACTTCATGCGGCGTTGTAGTTGAGTCTAATTTACACTTTTGAGCGACCTGCCACTTTTTCCTCATGACTCTTTGAAGGTCCTTCAAGAAATCTCCGGGTGGAGCTTGGTCGGACGCGGCCAGCTTTTTTGGCGATGTCAACCTGGTGCTGTCGGATCGTATGGGAGGCATGGGTTTCCTCTGCGGTAGAGCCGGACTGCCAGGTTCTTGCTGAGGTGGTAAGTTGAAGGTGATCTTCTTGATGGATCCAGTTTTTGACTTTGGAGAAATTGGAGGCTCTTGAATCGTGACCCTCCGCTGGGACTGAGGACTTGAGGAGGCTTTCAGTTCCGCCAGGTAAGGTGGTGTCGCATAGTGACTCGTGGTTTGCTTGAGAGCACTTCGCCTGACGGTGTCCATGTTCGGATTTGGCCTTATCGACTGAAGAGAATTCTGATGACCGGCGTAGATCAATTCAGTCTTGGAGTTTTGCCTCGAGAGCTGTTGGTTGATATGATTCGCTGAGCCGTAAGCTGGCGGTGGTACGAACGGCGGTGGAGAGCCGAAGCTGGGAGAGCTGGGGGTGTAGGTTGGCGTGCTGCAATTCGAGTCTGAGAACGAGTTGTGAGGGGAAGAGTTACCTATACTGTTGGTGTGACCTGGATTGTAAATTTGATTGTTCTGCGTGGGAGATACACAGTTTTGATTCATCATGATGGAGTTTGTACCCAAGTAAATTTGATTTACAGGCCTTGCTGCGGCGTGAGTTGGTGTACTGTTTGGAGAGAGGGAATTTGTGGGGGTGGATTGTTTGGGTTTGGCACGACGAATTGTTCCGGTTTCACCGACGAGAGGACTTGGCGGAGGCGGCAACGAGGCAAGACTCAGAGACGAGCCACTCAGGTCTGGAGAGTTGCAGGATGGTAATTCTCCGGGTGCAGGCGGTGGAGGAAGGGAATCCAGAGACAGATTCGATCGGAACATCTCCGGCGGTGGAGGAGGTAGAGGTTCACTGTCTGATTCAACTTCTTCCAGTACTCTTGATGGTGAAGGAGGTGGTGGTGGTAGAGACGTTATGGAGTCCATCTGCAATGAAAATTGATTATTATTAATCAGATGAGTGGATTTGAATTGAGAATTGCTTTTTTAGAAGCCAAAATTTCCTACTTACCATACAGGGTTGAATTGGACTAGTTGGAGTTTTCAATTCCTGACTTTCGCTTCTGTTGTAAATAAGGGGACTTGACCTTTCCCTCACGGGTGTTCCTGGTGGGACAGGACTTACTGGAGTGACATTTCCAGATCGGTGGTGCCTCTTGAGAGTGCCAGAACCATCAGAGTCGGTTCCACTTCTTCTTCGACTGTGCCTCCTGGTGAGAGTTCCCGATCCTGAACTCGTTGGACTCGGACATGAATCTGGCTCATCTCTGACAGTCTCCCCGACCTCTTTCAGTTGTCGCGTGATAGAAGTTAGAGGAAGCTTTGGATTCATGGATGGTTTCCTTTTTATGGTTCCCGTTGGAAATTCGCCACACTCGAAGGCAACTTCGCAACTGCTGGGCGCACCATCCGACAAGCACCCACTGGAACTGGAGCTGCTGGCTCTGCTGAGTCTTCCGTCGCTTGTGTAACTTTGCCTCTGATTTTCGTAAGGTCTGTTCGTTTCTCCATTGTGTCGTACCGTCTCCACAAACTGCCTGGCATTGTCATTTGTCGTATTGTACTGCGTTTGGTTCGCGGGAATTGCAATGGAACTGACTGAGCACGACCTCGCGTGAGCCAGGAGGTCCAGATCCTCTTGTGCAAGCTCATCCACTAGAGTCCTGTAGTTTTCCATCAATTGCCTTCCGTATTTAGCCAACCGAATGCCAACCATCCATCTCTCCAGCGAAGCGTTGTCTTCCGCGCAGAGGAACTTGATATATTTTGTCGACTTTGCTTGTTGCAGTCTGGGATGCTTGACGGCGAAACAAAAATCCGTTGGTGCTTTATACTTTTTCCTCCAACCCACACCATAGTAAACTTGATTGACGTCGAACGTCGCTAGACAAACTAAATCCCTGGCAGTTCTTGCTTTCTCCTTGGGCCAGTAGTAAAGACCAGATGCTCGTAAAATGAAGTGATATCTCTTCCAGCCCTTTTTACTGTCTGACTTTAGGTAGAGCGGTCCCTCCACCTCTGGAACTCCCACATTGTTTATAGAGAAAAACTCTTCCAGTAGAATATTCCGTGAGTGATCGTCGTATTCTCCGCCATTTCTGTCCGATGGTCCAAGAAGAAATCTCTCGGGCGAGAGAAAAAGATGAGTCTTGTCAGGTCGTTCGACAAACAGCAACTTGTTCTTTGAATCTCTAGTCCACAAAAGCAGATTCTCCACCAACAACTCGTGATCCTCGTAGACCCTCTCTGTATCATGAATTAAAAATTAAAGAATGAAATACCAAATTCCCGAGATTAAAATGTTTATTAGTTTTTTCTGAAAGAAGCAGGTCTTACCCATGAAGAGATCTGGCAAATGTTCAACTACAGCCCACTTTGGATCCATCGGAACGTGATTCTTGTCAGCAAGCAGTCTGCAAACATGTGCGACGCTCATTCCTTCGTCTACGAGTAAACTTTTTCCACTTCCATCTAGGGTGAACGCCTTAATGAAAAGCTTCTGTACACTTGCTTCTCGCATCTTTTCCAGTGCCAGGCGAATTTTCTCTGCCTTTGCTCGACCCGCGGCATCTGTGAAATGTACAGAGAGTTATTTACTCGCCCATTAAAGGTCTGCACTCTGTAACGACGCGACGAGGCGCCTCAGATTCTGTCTGATGCAAATGATATAAGTTTATTTGCTCAATGTTTGTTGTGAAGCACTTACCAACATGTTGGTGTGATTGTTGTTGTGGGGCTGTGTGCATGGCGGTCTGAGGTGGCTTATGTCCGGAGCCACTACTACTCGCTGAACTTTCGCTCGACAACATCGACACAGTGTCCGAAAAGGCGCTATCATTGTCGGGACTATCGGTGCGCATACCTGTAAAAAATGTTGGTTCCATTTATGAAAACAATTCAGCCTTAGTATACGTTTTTGGGAAATAAAGAGTAAACAGCAATTTTATTTTAAATATTCAAAGTGAATTATTCGTTTTCATTGTTTTAGAAAATTAATTCTCTAGCTTGAGGTAACTAACCGCCGTCATTTTTTCCAATCTCCGTGTTTTCCCCGGAATTGATCCTCGTACTACCCGGGCGTCCTTGTCTCTGAGAGTCAGATACGGGTGTTGCAGCAATATCCCCATCGCACCGTCTCTCCAACGCACAGAGTTCTCCGAGAATTGCGTCCAGATCAACATCTTGCGAATCTAAAATAACAAAGAAACCTAGTTAGAAAACTGGATAGTAGTAAAAACTCGCATCGCATCTTTTTAATTTCACAATTTTTGAAAAATATTTCTTTTTCAAAAATTTAAATATTTTAGAAATCACTAAAAGTACAAAAAGTAGTTGATGATTAATAATAATAATTAGAAAAAGTAGAGTAAGTAAAATGATAATTAACAATTATGCTTTCATATCTACAACGAAATTTTGCACAAATAACGTGTAAATTACTTCAGTTTCCATATGGGTTTTAAAATGAGTGTCAGTGATTTAATACGTAAATTACTAAAACTAAATTGGCAATATTTACTTTTAAAAGAGAGTTATTTTGCAAGAATTTTTTTTTCATTAGATCAATTTATGATTTCATAACAAGTGAGATCTGCAGTTAAGAATCCAAAAGTGCTAGCAATGAACCAATAAATCTACTTTAGACGCGCTTAATATGACCTGCAAAATAAATTTGTGCTTCGCTAAGCGAAGGCGTAACGTTTCTACAAGTTTAACGAAGAAGACGAGGGACGACATTTTATGCACATATTCAAATGCAAATGTATGCATAAAAAGAGTGCATCTATTAAAAGCGTCTTATTTATATTCTTATATTTAATGAATTCAATAATCTAAGACGCAAAAGCAATGTTGAAATATCTCATTTGAAATGACAAGTGATAAAAGGAACCAAAAAATGAATTGACTTATTAAAATTTTGATGAAAATTACTTTCGAGCAGTAGTAGAACTGAAGGAATGAACTGTACAACAAAATAACATTTTCTGCCTCGGAATCACACTTAATGATGACAAGCTGTGAAAGGAATGCAAGATAACATCAGAAAACTGTCCTACACACTGCATGTAGAGCGCTAGCTGACACTAAATGAAAAAAACTAGTTGTCAGTCTGAAGAAGTGTACAAATTTCAAGTATTTTATAGAAACATAATACTAGACGTTTGTAACTAACTTTTATGAAATTTCCAATGATTGTTCAATACATCCTGTAATAATTTTTTTTCATTTTTTTACAATGTCTGCAAATAAATCAAGTGCCAATATATTGACAGTACACGTCAACTTGTGATAATTATTAAAAAATTGAATGTACTATATTGTTTATCAGGATGTTCCAAATACATTGCTAAACATTTTTAGAATTAGAGGAGCATTAAAGGTTCATTGAAAGTCATCCCACGCTTTTATTCACCAGTTATCACATTTTTGTGAAGAGCACTTTCTAAAGCACTCGGGGCGCAGTAATATATACCTCTATACATAATAGTGAAAACTCTAGATGAATAATCACAAACAGATTAAGAAGTTCATTTCAAGTTTTTATCAGTAATTATATACTTATCTATATTATAAAATTATCTTGAAACTGAAGCAAAGAACTTACAATCTCAATTGTTTCCCGTCTAATTGCCTCTATTGTCGAATAAAAGAAACCCGTAATATAGCCGGAACATTAAATTTAAATGTCACAATATTTCTGGACTGCAACTTCCCTTTCAATTTTTCTGCACAAAGTAGCAAAACCAGTTTCCCAACTGAAAATTACTACGGAGAAAGAAAATGAAACTGGTAGTATATAGAATATTACCAAGCTAAAATTGTCAATACCCTGTGAGATCTCTTCCTTTTGGTATATAGACAATAAGTAATTTTCTATAGAAAAAAAAATTGCAATGTACCTTTAATTGAATAAAAGTTTAACAGTAGAAAAATAGTATGAATAAAAATGAATAAAAATCAGATGATGACATGGAGGCAATGAAAGGAAATAAGAGATTTGTATTCTCCTAACGTGCCCAAAGCGACATATCACCTCTGACTGACGGCCATGTCGAATGACTCTTCTCAGGCTCGTGATTACCACGCCAAAAGGTGCTTTTAAGGTGGAAGTCATGTGTCGAAGAAAGGCAGAAAATAAGATGACGAAGCAAAACAACAAAAACAGTCTTTCATCCTGTATTCAGGATAGGAGTCAGGTATCTCTGAAAAGTTACCGCAATCTTCAATCAAAACACGTCCTTTTTTGTCGCAACAAACTTGATAACTTTGTTCAATTGTTTTCGAAGAATATTGTCATTTTCAAGAAATTATACTTTCCTTTCTAATATTGAATACAGACTATATCCGATGACTAAGATACAGGCTTATCTCTCGGCATTAGACAATCTTATCACTGAGTTAATTGACTTTAAACAACTGTAAATAAATCTACTGTGGAAAAAATGAATGATCGGGAATTCATATTGCCAAGTCATAATATTTATTCTACTCGAAATTACTATTTAAATAGTACGAATAATATTATTATTATTATTGAGGACGATGAATAGGAATGGAAAATAATTTATAAAGCCGCAAGAAGAGAAATTCTTACAATTAGTGAATTTTTAATCCTTTTGTGTAGTTTAATTTTTTTTTTTTTTAAATAATGCTTTTAAAGTAAACTTTCGGGTAATAAAAATACTATCAGTGGAAACACAATCTACCTTTGATAGGGAAATATCCAAGGATGCTCTCATTGCTACTAAAGTTGCCAATCATCTTTGGACAGAATATCTACGAGTAGTCAGTCGGCTTCTGATTCAGAGCTGCATAACTTCTCGTGATTCACTTTGCAGATTTTTGCAATTAGTCTCCGAGAAGTAATTTAAAATTTAAATAGAGAAACTAGGAGGCGATACATTATCAAATCGCCTCGGAATATTAGAATTATCCGATCAACGACACATTCACTTTCACTACCTCGCCTGTCGATGCACTTTTAAACAATAAAATCTGTAATTGGTCCTGTTTTCAAAATAGACACTGATCCTTCTCCAAACTATCATATTTGCAGGCATGGGTAATTTTCCACTTATTACATATTTCACATGCAGAATTAATTTCCCAACTTTTCTCAATGTTTGTTCAACTATTTTCAAATAAATCAAAAGATATATAACAGTAAATTTCTACAAGTTTACTATGCTATAAATTCAACACCCAGCAAATAGAAATATTAAGAAATTAATAATTGAAATGTTAAAAGTTCACATTGCTAAAAGTGGTCGATGGCAAAAATGAATTTGTGGCATCGAATCACGAGATCACTCCGAGTACCGATAAGAATTCTCATTTCATTCAGAGCACTGTCTTTTCATAGAGGAAAACAAGTGAATAGTGACGGACGGTTGCCTGCGCTCGACTGAAGACTAAACTGTAGACTTGATCATGGCCAGACGTTAAGGTGAGGTGAGTGGTCACACTTAGAGTTCCGTGCTTGCGCAGTCTCAGGTGTGAAATTCATTGAAAATAAGGAAAATAATATATACCTGTCTTTACAGAATTTTCTCTAAATTATTATAGAATTTATTCATTAATTGCGAAAATTTATTAATTGCAATTTATATGCGACGCAAGGCAAAAAGGCGTTTGAATATAGGAAAAATTTAACACTCAATGATTTTTGTGTAGATTATATAAATTTAAAATTCTAAAGATCACGAATAATCAGTTTCTAGGAAAGACTGAGAAATCAGATTGAAAAAATTCCCTTATACTCTACATTAGTGTTAACTACACGCACAAATGGAGTTTTGATGCAGGTCATGATTTGTGGTTAATGAAGAAACTTATTACAAGAAATATTTCTTCAGCTATTCTTTTCATGTTTCAATAATAAGCCTTATTTTACGAAATAGGATATGAAATAACAGATCTTCTCTAATTAAAATTTATAAAATATAAACTACATCATTTCTCAAGTTCCATTCAATTTTTTTACAACCATTATTCGAATTAGTAATTTTTTTGAAATTTTTTTGAAAATGCAAGTTTTGAAGGGACTGTAAATACTATACAGTATTTACAAGATCTAAGATTTGTGCCAACATACTTATCGCCAAAAGCACCGACCGAGTGTGTAATTATATGCCTTGAAATACAACTCAAATATTGCAGAACTTTTCGTTGAATCGAACCAACCATTTTTGTTCTCTACTTATAAAGAAAATAAAAACTCTCAACAATTTCCTGCCTTTAAGCATAGTAAATATATATATATATATATATAGTAAAGAAATTCTTATGAACTGAAAACTTTGCTTTAAAACCCATGAAACGTGTTATTATGTCAAATCAAAAACATTGATGAAATAATTAAAAACAAATTGAAAGTGCTTCTCATCTAAATAAAAATTTTTAATCGTTTGGAATAAGTTGTCAGTTTAAATCTTATCTCTCTGTATCTTAATGTGCCTTAAATCCTTTAAATAATTCTTATATCTAAAGAAATATTTACATTCTTAAACCAAAAATAAATAGGTATTTCTAGATGTACTTCTGTAAAACGATTTTAAAAACTAGAATTTAAATATTTTTAAATCGTCGAACACGTATGTCCTAGCGCAGTTACTTGACTTGTGATTCGAATTCTAAATCGTAAAGAGCTTTTACGTGTTTCTAATGATTCCAGCGCACAAAGCTTGGGAGAATAATAAGAATTCCTGTGAATTGAAATTTGCGCAAAGTGACCACATTGACGCAAGTTTATGCGGCTTATTACTGCATTATAGCCCGATGTCAATGACATGCACATCAGCCTCCACGGTGGACCATAATAATTCTCGATCACGTTTAATTAGCGGCTTATAGGCTTGTTCGTAAATGTTTACTCGTGCCATCAGACTCAAGTTTTATGCACACTTAAAAAAGTACCGCGAACAAGAAGAGAGAAACACGCCCCACAGTTACAAAGTTGCATTAAAGAGACATTGCACTTGAAAAGAATTACCATAAAGTGTGCGTGCTCGATATAAACTTTTGTTAGTGTTCGCGCGCAGAAATCAAAGCAAAATACCTCAAACCATTCGATCAATCAGAGTAAAAATGATTAAAAAACATTTCTGAAAGTTGTGCGCATGAAATTTTCTTTTTCTTTTTATTCTTCCTGCAATATTCTATTCTGAACTTTCTTCTAGTAATATGAAAATTCTCTTCTGCTTTGTAAGTCACTTTCCATCTTCACTTTGAAAACAAACTGTAAAAATGGCTATAACAAATTGATTAAGTGAAAGTGAAGATAATTTTATGTGCTAAATATCCGATTTTATTATTGAAAAACTTAGGATTTAGCTATTTTTTCAACATTACTGCGCACACTTTCCCGCTTTTTGCGAATTCGTACAAAAGAAAAGTATTAATAATGAATGACCCTGACGAGCATATATGCGTATTTTAATTAAGTAATGAGCCTCGCCCTCGAACATGTGTTGACTCTTGTTTAAATTTACTTTCCCTGCGTGTAAGACTATATAGTGTTACTTTTTGTCAATTAAAAATGTTAGTATTTAGCACACACGATATTAAAATTATTCACACTTGCATAATTTTCGTTCCATTTGACCAACATTAGCAGCTATTTCCAATCGGAACAAAAAATAGTTTTTTATTAGAGAAAAAAGAAATCATTTCCCGGATATTTATTATTATTTATTCTTGTCAAAATAAATGGATAAATGAAAATAAAATCTTCATCCTGTGTAAGCCCATACGTTAATTCATCAAGTGATAGTTGTTGTGGTAGTAATTTCATCTTTTTGCCTTCTTTCTGCACGTGCCGCTAGGTACGATCAATTATTCTTCAAAGAGAATAAATTATTGAGTCGGGGCTCAGTCGTTACAAAGACTAATAGTAGGCTCAGAAGATAAACAATTACAAGCACCAAATTAGTGGATAAAATATGCCTAAGCGAAGAAATTTGAAAACCTCGATTCATGGCAAACTATATTGCGGTTGAGTGTATATTTTCAATCAAGAATCTAATTTTAAGCCGCATCAACTCTCAGAGTTTTTGTGGCACGCATTAAAAACAGTTTTGAAAAACAATACACCCAGAAATGAATGAAATGATAAAAAAAATGAACGTATTCTTAATTTAAAATTACAGGGATATTTTTTAAATATGTTGACAATAGGAAGTTAAATTCACCTTTAAAGAACGTTAAATTCTAAAGAGATTACTGAAGCGCATCGAGGCACGAAGTTTAAAGCAGCTTCACGTATATATAAAATATAAATATCGTTTATGGAGCATGGTAGCACACCTTCTGAAGAAACACCAATATACGATTCTACACTACAACGAGCAAGGTTCACAAATCCCAAGGTGAACGTTCGGAGTCGATTTATCCAGGAATATTATTAAATCACAAAGAAAGTTGAGTTTGCGTTTCTTGAAAAGAAGATAACCGTGGAATAAAGCTAGTTTATCAATGTATATTGTATAATTTTATCGCACACAGTCACGAAACAAATTTCACTTCCATATTTCTAATGTGTATATTCCTTTGACGAAGAAAGAAAATTGCTCCTGTCGATTACGTATTGTTAATGATCTGTTTCTAAGTAATTAATTAAGAGGAGCCAATCTCATTTTTAATCGCGTGTTATGGAGTAAATTAAACGGTATAATGCACGATAAAGTCTATGTGAAAAATTAAATGTTCAGTGTCTGCATAATTAATTTACGCTCAGAATTGGAACGGCAAATGAAATTTGACAGTGTAATTGAGTTGTAACATTTTTTTCACTCGTTAAGTACATCAACTGAACCATATTTCTTTTTTAAAAATTGTGAAAATTTACTTTTTTCATTTCTATATACTGTTGGGAAAATGATGCGAATTATACAAATAGTATTAAATAGTACTGTATATATTAATAAGCCGGCAGCATATATGTATATTTGTTGTACTAGCGAAAGTGATAGAACGCAACTATTAATAACGCGGTAGATTCTGTTAGAAGAAATTACAGCTTCGTGAGACCGAAGCTTTTCTCACAGACTCTTTTTGATTGATTTCTGTAAACATTTTTTGAGAAATATCAATGAAATATTAATTGTAAACGCAACTCTTTTCAAATTCAATTAATTTTGAAATAAGTAGAATTATTTTAGGCAATAATTTTCGGATAGTTCTGCAAGAATTAAGTTATTTAAACTTAAATTATTGGTAGAAATAGAAAAATTAAGTTTTGTATTAAAATTCGTGATTTTGTGGTTATTTCATGATGAAGAAAACAAAAAAGATTGTTATATGAATTTTAAAGATTTAATTTTTTCGAGTACTTTTAATAAAAAATTCTCGATTTTTCGCTGACTTTCCTGATCTGTGGGAAGTGTATATAAATAGAGAATCATTATATTAATAAATATTTGCAGTACGTGCGTGTATGTATAGACAACTGGATCATAAATTATAAATTGGTGGTTCCCATTGTTATTGAGTGTAGAACTGGTCGTCATTTAAAAAAATCGAAGACCACAGGGCCCTTTATAAATTGTAATAACTCTTAATGAACGATGGAATTCACGAAGCTTATCTCAAGTCTAACAGAGGCACTTGACTTCGATCGACTGTGAGAGTAAAAGAGACTCAACCGTGATCGTAACTGTGACATTCTCTACTCTAATGAACAACAAAATTTTCAATTGAGTTTGATCAGAATATTCTGTGCGGTCAATAAATTTGAATCTAATAGAAATAAAAAACATTTTAAAACTCTAATGATTAATTCTGATAATTGAAAGAAGAAATTTTGAAAAAAAAGAGGCGATCACGTGCGTGCTATGGTGACGGCAACGATGCGCGGTACCGTACCATGGAGCATAAATCTACTGATAGGACGTGAAAGCCATAGAGATTTTTTTCGATCGCCACTATTGCGAGCTAGTTTAAAGATGGCGTGTTGCGCTGCACAATCCCCAATGCCTTACGGCCTACAATCATGTCCGATTCACCACACCAAAAAGAAGTACGATTTCCAATAAGAGCAATAAGGCAAGCAAAATTTCAAAACAAAGATCTTAATCAATAAAAATAATGAAGACAATAATACTTGGAGATTAAAGTTACAAGTCTGCCTCTGACTCTCTGACAGGAAATTTAAACATCGGGAAGTGAAATATAACAAACAAGTTTGTAATAAAGTAATCATATTCTACTCAATTATTATACTTTTATAAAGTACTTTAATTGTTCAAGTAAAAAAAGTTTGGGGGAAACAGATCGAAATTAGAGAAAGCGAGGACAGTTTCTTGCACTTGTGTTTTTGTGTTTTTATTTTATAAAACCTTGTTTAAAAGATAAAGTTTTTAATCTCGCACTTTGTCAAGTTATGAACGGAAGCAATTAATCATTCGCAAATCTTGATGATTGAATTGCAAATGGAATTTATAGGGATATTTTGAAGATAAGGAGACTAAGAGAGTTTATTTATATTTTCAATGTATGTATATTTCTTTGTTTGCGTTTAGAAAACTAAAACACTTGTACTTTTTAACGATAATCGACTGCCACCTGGCAAGGGCAACAAAAGAAAGCAGATATAAGGGAACAATTTGAAGAGGTCGTCGAAATAACGACATTTATCTCTTCAGACAGATTGCTATTTTTACTGCGCCGTATTTCAAAAGATGAAAGTACATATAATTTCGAGGCTAAGATAGTTTTCTTGTAAAAGGAATGAACCTGAAGCTTACAAAGGGGTTTTCAAAGTACTTGTTTCCACTCATTGGTCGACAACCTTGTTTTTTATCATATTTTTATTGCACTGAAAGCAATTAGATCCCATTGTCAACTGTTTTCAAATTATTGTAATCGGTATTATCTCAATATTTTAATTGGAACACCACAGACCGAATCTCTGCGCTGTTTTATCTTTTCAGCATGATGAGAATGTGAAAATGTTTAAAAATTTATAAAACATTTAAATGAAAGACAAATTAAATCTAACAAAGCTTAAAAAGTAACCATTGTCCATCTGATAGGTTACACGAAATTTCTTTGTTAGCGTGTGTCAAATTTTAACAAAGAGCCATCATCCCATTTATTCGGGAAATTGCATTACAGAAAAATGGCGACACGTTTGATTCTTTAGAAATGCGCTGGACTGAAACGACTCGCTTAATTACGCGTAACGAAATGACACTTCGACTCACAGTATTTGCAGAACATAAATTTGAATTATTCTTTTATAGCGAATTGCATCAGAGAGAGGCAAGTTTTTTATAAAAAGTTGTAAAACACAAGGAAACTTTGCAATTATGTGCATACTTTCGTTGTCGTTTATTACAACGATTTGTCCATGTTTGTTTGTTAAGAACTAAATAGAACAGTTGGAATCTTACCTTCCAGATTCGCCATAGAAAATCGATAACTGTCGATACGTGGAGTATTGATGTCCGAATTAAACGGCCTCAGAGTTGCAGAGCTAACATTGTCGAGACCCTGAAAGAAAAATACAAATTCAATTTTTTGTACAGTTATAAAATAATAGTATAATTTTCTCAGCTTATATGTGTATACCCCTAATTGCCCCTAACAAGGTCTATTACAATATAATATATTTTGCCTTATTAGATAGTTTGAAACACGTGTTGGCAAAGCCACTTTTATATATCATGAAACCGCTAATCTCGCTTTTCTGTAACAAGAATTTTGCTAGTTTTGCGATTTTGCTAGTCTGTACACTCAATTTCCGGTGTGAAAAGGTGAATTATTCTAGCCTCTCACTCGGGACGAAAGGGGTGTAATTTTCCCGATTGGAGAGAATTCAATTCGCATTTGTGGCAAACCAGGCAAAACGACATAAAGTATTTAGGTGTGTTAGTACTATTATTTTCGACTCGACATATTTTGTTCAATTTTCCTAACTCGATTATTTCTTTATACAATTTTTATAATTTAAAAAAATAAAGATAAAATTAAAACAATTTTTTAGGTACATATTATTTTTATAATCTAATTCTAGTACAACAAACTTTGTACACATATATATATAAAATGTCCCCCATATTTATATCTCCTAGGGGAGATTATTTTTAGAAATACTTTTTTTCTCAAATAAAAGGATGCTGGTGTGATGTAATGGAAGAAGAAGATCAACCAAGATCTTAAGATAATTTCGAAGGAAAGGTGCAGGCAAGAGATCGCGTTTTGAGCCATTAACCGTAAATAATACGAATTCACACTTGAACGATTACGTACATATATGTATAGGAAAGATCCGTATATACATATACTCAAAGTGTCAGTTCCGCCTTACGCTATAATAATTTGCCATTTAATCCGATGAAAATTCTTGTTAAATATGCATTGATCTTTAATTATAGAAAGTAATATTTTTGCGCACTTTAAAATGCTTCTAGAAAACGATTGTATAAAACCTTCGGTTTGCTTTATGTATTTTACATTCAAGGCAGGAAACAGTGCTTTTTTACATTATCTTTTCTATTATCGTGCAATTATTATTTTCCGTGTATACTTCAATTATAGTAATTTAATACACACAAAGGTGAAAATTAAAATTATTTCTTTTCCTTTGTAGATGGCCAAACGTGTATAGTATATGTAAATAATGTGTGGGAGTGGAATTACCGGTCAACTACTGAACCAACAAGGCTAACAATTAGATTTTTTCAGATAAGTTGATGCGTATTAAACAATGTATAAAAATTTAAGTTTCATTTATTACAAGCTTATGATAATTTACGTAATTTTGTTAAAATTTTTGTATTCAGAGAAGTGGTTAAGTAATGCAATTTTTTTTCATTCTACTTCTCTGAAACTTAGTTTAATGAATTAATGCACCGCCTCAAGAAGAAGGTGCAATTTTCTACGATATCCAGGTATGACAGGAAGTCGCAGTAATTTTTCATTCAGGCAGTCTTTTGTCAGTAGAGAGAAGGTCGACTTGAAGTCAACTCCAGGATGAGAGTTTACTTGCGACCCAACTCTTGCCTCTTCTCTCACACTCCCTTCCGACTTTAGATGCAGAGCATTTTTCTAGCACAGCATTTAGCCACAAACCTCACAAAAATATTTTACAAGTGACTAGAAAAGAAACTTATCTTGATGAAAAATATGACAAATTAAAAAAAATATATTAGATAAAATTGTCGAAAAGCAAAGGCGAGCAGAAGCGAGCAAAAGTTATAAATGCCGTGAGAAGCGACAGCTTGAAGGAGGGTCACTTGAATAATATTATCTTGAAGAAAAATGCGAACCAATCACTTTTCATAGAAAGAAAAATAAGGGACGAGTCCTTTATCATCAAACAAGCATAGACACTTCCTAAAAAGATTGATGTTATTTGAAGCTTATCCTTCATTTGTTATCTAGTTGATAAAAAATGTCCTACAAAGCAGAGAACAACACCGAAAGTAAACTAAAATATATTTCCGCAATTAATTTGACATACAAATTTTTTCCAATTTTCGTTCGAAGCAATTTGACAAATTTTAACACAAAATGACAATCAACGGATTTGTCAGACATTTAAAAATTTATACTCACATCCTCATGTGTCTTGTGACTCTTCCACCGGAATAGTCTCGCCATTTCGTATTCTCCCTTTTAACACAATTTCCCCTGATTTGATTTCATCTCAAGAATTTGAAAAGTTGTCCTAAATGGTATTATAAATTCTTGGCAATAAATCAAGAATCGCGTTGACCATCCGTGCAATTATAGTTATCACGAAACGCTCGAGTTACAGTCCCCTGGGCGGACGTATAATTGCAGACACAGTAACAAAAAGTTTAACCAGTGAGAATACACCATAGTTTGCTAATTGACTCTCCACAGTCACGAAATATCTAGGAACTTGAACTTTTAATAGCTCCTCCCCGCATTGATAGTAATGATTAAAACTTGTTCTGAACTTAAACGATTCTTCTACTATCGCATAACGCATATATCGTTAACACCCTCGTAAAACCGTGCAACCTATAACCTGCAATAAGCAATATACCATCATCCTTAAAATAACATCACTCGTATGTTTTATTTGATATTCCAAATACATTTAGATTCTGTTTTTCTGTCACAAACAATTTCTAAGGATATCAAATTGATTTTACTTTTGATTTTACCTCAATTTGATATCTTTAGAACAACTATTAGCCATGAAAGATGTATGAATTAAAATTATGATGAATTTTAGATTAGTCTTGCCCATGCGTAAAGAAATAAAGGAATCAGAAAAAACTTTTTATCCTGAAAGATTATAATCATCATAGTTACAAAATAAGGAGTATATTTTACTGAAAATGTAATTTAATAAAATGATAATACTGCTACTATTCATAATAATAATTATCATCATCTGCAGCACATGTTTTGAAAAGAAGAACTGATTTCCGCTCTAAATGCATCTAAATCACTTTAAAATATAAACTTAAGAAGACAGCTAGATTATTGTGGTTCCAGGATTTAATCGGTGGTAACTGGTAACTGGTATTGGGTAAACTTAACAGATTCTGTTGTCACGAACTCAAATTAGTGTAGTACACTAATCCGTAACTAATAGAACGGTAAAGTTAGGATGACCTGAGAATAATAATGGACGGTAGACCGGCATCTCGGCGTGTACTGGATTCAGTTCCGCAGAGGTTTTAACGTAGAGTCACAATATTTATCTCTCTCTCTTTCTTTTCCATGAGCTTTTGAAGGGAGAAAAGCGCGTTGCGCAGTCGTAGCTATCGATTCCGCTGGTTCCTGAAGGATGAGAATTTGTCAGGATCTGCTACCAGCAAACCTGGAGAGAGCCGTGGTCCCCGTTTTCAATTTTAGAACCTGGTATTCAGTTCTATACCATCAAGAGTTTGAATAAAGAAATTTTTCCATAAAATGGAATTTTCATGAAAAAAAAAGTTGGAATCGAAACGATATAATATATTGGGGGAAGTGGAAAATTGACAGCATCAGATCCATCAGTGTCACTGCGAGGGGAAAGGATTTATGAAGACTTTAAAGAATGAACAGGGCTTGGAAAACACGTGACAATAATTTATCGACAGGGGATTCGAAATCGAAATTTGATTATGTCAATAAAAGCAAAAATTTACTTTCGTTTTAAAGTTTTACTTTTGCTTTTACTGACGAAATCAAAGAAGCCATTGTTATGAAAAGTATGATACTTGTTGAAGGAAAATTACAAAATTGCTCTAACGGGGCAAGCAAACACTTTTTTGCACCAGTTTTAATCTACCGGGAGAGGAAGATTAGAGTGAAAGGCTTTAGTAGCATGGGGTGTGACTTTCTTCTTGAAAGTGTGCTCGGCTTTAAAGGATTTCAGTGTTTGCTCGACCCTCAGTGATCCTATTCGACCCTACTTGGAACCAACGGGTAAATCCAACTCTGCACGTCCATGCAGTACACACTCAGGTGCCGCATTCAGAACTATTCGTGCATGCTTTTAGCTGTGCCCATATGCACGAGTCAATATTCCTTCTATCAGTAAACACACGGGGGAATAACGAACCCTAAATAGAAATTAATGATCGAGTACAAAATCAAAACACTTTTCGTTTTTTAATTTCTATCGCAACACTTGATATTTGTCTTAGAATGGATTATTTTTCGTCCCAAATATGGCAGATGTTGGATTTATTTTTGTTTTCAGAGAAGGGTGACTGACATTCACCTGTATCGTTTTTTCTCTAGTGCGTAGGTACATATGAGTAGCCACGCTAATGGATTGTCTGAGGGTTCCAACGACCGGTAAAGTCAAACACTCTGCGGTGCTCTGCGGTTTTCTTTCTCTTTCAACTGTCCCTTTGCCTTTCATTATCGCGCGTATTCATATAACATCGTCCCACGAAAAACCAGCCTCACTATCTTCCCTTCGTTAAACGTACGCAAATGTACATGTCTCGGATATTCTTTACTTTCTCCCCCTGCTGCCCCCATTCCGCACCTTTTTTTGTCTCTTATCTTTTTTGCACACAGACAATCTTTACTCGTTATTCACAAAAAATCCAGTTAGTCTCGCCTTTGGTAAATAAAAACGAAAAAGTAATTCTGGAAAATATTTTTTAAAATTAGAAATACTAATTCACATTAGGTTTGTAGTAAATATATATATTTACTATTTAAATTAGTTTACAGTAATTTACGAATTGAGAGTTAAAATTAGATTATGGAAGAATTGAGAAAAAAAGTCGAAATTTATGAAAGACAGGTGACATAAAGTTGAAGTTTACAATTCTACTTTCTCATTCGTCTCTCTCTCTCTCTCTCTCTGTTGTGTTCTTATCTCACACTCTTTTCTTTTTCGCTGTTTGGCATTGTCTTATTCCTCGTGGTACTGTTATTCTTATAGAAACAATGCTCGAGCACTAGAGACATGCACGTGTTCGCACGATGCGATCTCTTGCACTTATATCAGCCTGACGAAGAAGATAAGACCTGAATGCAGACTGACGGTTGTCTATATAGTCGATAAA